ACAGGTATCTACTCAATATAGAAGTTTGATACCCAGGAGGGTGGTGACGCATGAGAATGGCTTCTCTAAGGAGGGGGTGGAATCTCCATCCCTAGAGGTTTTTAAGTCCTGCCTTGACAAAGCCCTGGCTGGGATGATTTAGTTCGGATCGGTCCTGCTTTGGGCAGGGGGCTGGACTCGATGACCTCCTGAGGTCTCTGCCAGCCCTGGGATTCTATACTGTTGTCTGCCTTCGTGTGATGTAATTGAATAGGATACTCTTTCGTCTGTCTGCTTTGCTCAATGTCCATCTCCCCTCTGTTAGGACACAGAGTATATCCTTTCCTAAATCTTCCCCTGGGGGATGTCACTGTTCAAACTGGGTGCTCCTCTGCTCCTCTTGGCTTTCCCCTGCCCGTAGTTTCAAACTTCACTACAAGCTTTCTGAGTTTACCTACCCGCAATCTGGTTCCACTTGGGCTTACTTGCACAACTGGCATCGGACAGACCACAGACTGCTGCCCAAGGGGTGGGTCATCTCTCTTGTCTTGCAAGACGTGTGAGCAGGAAACGGATGCTTTTTCTCTAAAAGGGGAAAGAAAAAAAGTCCAACAGCCATGGAGACTTCATGCTAATGGAAGAACAGGCTGCAGCAATGCCAGCTCTGCAAGCTTCCCCACTCCTCCCAAAGTGCATCACTGTTGCAGATGAGGTCCCTCTAGGGCAGGGGATGGGGAACCTAAGGCCCGGGGGGGCCAGATGCAGCTTGTCTGGATCTAGCCCCTGAGGATCACGTCTCCCCCCAGCACACACCCTTCCTCTCTGCCGGTGAGGGGTATGTTGCTTTTTCTCACTTGTGTGCAGCCCCTGATTTTTCTGGGGGTCAGTGGCCCCCACCTCAAAAAAAGTTTCCTGCTCCAGGGATAAGACAATATCAGTTTATTGTTGCTTGTATTATCATTACCACCCTAGTCTTACACCAGTACCCCATCATGCGAGGTGCTATACCCAGAAGAAAGAGACAGCACTGTCGTACCTCGGAGTTTCGTACCTCGGTACCTTCGGTGGTCTGGACTGTCAGTGTCAGCGTCGTCTGGTCAGGGTCGTCCTGGCGCGCTCCTGACAGGACCTCTACTCTGTTGATAAACTTTCGGCTGCGTGCGTAACAATCGGTACTCCCTTTATCTAGAGTGTTAGACCCCGTGCACTTGGGTCAACACAAGAGATCTCTGAGAGGCCCCGGAAACGACAGATGCAGGCAAGGTTTGAAATCAATCGAGCAGGTTTATTGTCAAATGCGAAGCTCTACCAGTTGGTAACAGAGATCAGTACAATGTTACACCACTGGGCACTATGGCCCGCGTTGACAAGGTACCAACACCAGGCAGGCCTATTGCCATATATCATATATTAACAGCAGTTAGTCAAAGTTAAGCTACTGTGTATTCTGTAAGTTTGGCCCTGCCCCCCTGCCGTTCAGGCGCCTAGTGCGCCCCCCCCAAGGTCGGCCGGAGAGCACCCTCTGCGGTGTCCTTTTATAGACAGGTACAAACAACTTACATCATTTCTTTACGTACCAGGTTGCCTAGTTACCACCCCTCACTGTATGGAAGGGGGGCTTACTTACTATCCTTCATGCTGTCAATTCCGACCTGGTCCTGAACCTAGGTCGGTCTGTGCATTCGTTTTTAGGGAGTTTTTGTACCAAGACATTTCTTATTAAGATGTTCCACTATTCCCCTTTGGCTCACAGTCTGTACCCAGTGCCTCCTTGTGTCCTTCCATGCTCAACCTAACTTACACAATCACACAGTTATCAATAGGGCCTCTTTCTTGGCTCCAGTTACTGAACCAAAGTCTTGCTCACTAGATTGCAGGCCTGTTGCTGTTTTTTCATGTTGCAGGCCTTAGGCCTGCTGACTCCATGTTACTGACCCTCAACTTACTACAAACACAATCCTTGCTGTTCGTCTTGGGACTGCCAGGTGTGAGCGGTTGCGAGAGGAATCCTAAACGGTCTTTGGGCTGAGGACACCTTTGCACGGTGAATTGAAATACCGTTTTTCAGACCAACTACAATTCCAGTCGCACTGTGAACCAGTCTACAGTCTAGGAGAAGCGCCTCCTAAAAGACTTCAAGGTGAGCCCTCAACTGTAACCATGCAGCAGAGCTGGGGAAGTGTATGGTTAAATTAAATGTAATTAATATTCTTAAAAGGAAAGTGGGCTTAGACTTGACGCTGGCTCCTTGTGTCTCTGTCCTGGACATGCCCTGTGACCTTAGAAGTTCCTTAGCCCGCATTTTTGAAAAATGGCTTTGGGGAGGGTTGCCCCTCATGAGGCATCTTACTTTCAGACACTCTGAGTAGCCCCAACTCCAAATACAGTCAGCAGGGGCGGTGGCTGCTCTGCAGCTCAGAAAAAATCAAGCCTGGGGTGTCATGAGTTAGTCACCCAAACTTGGAGCCCAGTTTTGAAAATTTGAGCTGGTTTCTCCTTCAGTAAAATGGGCTGATGGGGACGGGCGTGCCACAGGTGTTGGGATTCAATTCAGTAGCACTGGGGACATGGTTGGAGAGAAGGCATCCTACCAGCCCAAGGGAAATCTCTCCCCCCAATGGTAAGTTGGTAACCCAAGGGCAGAGAGTTGAAAGAAAACACTAGTCAGTATAAAGTTGAGTGGCACACCCAGGCTACATCGACACTGGCAGCTTCTTGTGCAAGAACTCTTCCAGAAGAGAGCGTCTACACTGGCATGTGCCTTTGTGCAAGAGATGTGCTTTTGCGCAAGAGCATCCATGCCAGTGTAGATGCTCTCTTGAACAAGAAAGCTCTGATGGCCATTTTAGCCATAGGGCTTTCTTGTGCAAGAAATTCATGTTGCCTGTCTACACTGGCCTCTTGCACAGGAACAATTGCACAAGAGGGCTTATTCTTGAGCGGGAGCATCATAGTTCTTGCGCAAGAAGCACTGATTTCATACATTAGAACGTCAGTGTTCTTGCTCAAGAACTTGCGGCCAGTGTAGACAGGATCGCGCCAATGTAGACACAGCCCCAAAGTGTAGGAAGGGGAAGCATTTCCATTTGAAGCTAGCCATGTGTGGAAGCTAGTCTTCCAAAAGAAGACAAATCAGGAAAGAGATCTTGGCATTATCGTGGATAGTTCTCTGAAGACGTCCACACAGTGTGCTGCGGTGGTCAAAAAGGCAAATAGAATGTTAGGAATTATTAAGAAAGGGATAGAAAATAAGACACAGAATATCTTACTGCCCCTCTATAAAACTATGGTATGCTCACATCTTGAGTACTGTGTACAGATGTGGTCTCCTCACCTCAAAAAAGATACCTTGGCCTTGGAAAGGGTTCAGAAAAGGGCAACTAAAATGATCAGGGGTTTGGAACAGGTCCCATATGAGGAGAGGCTAAAGCAACAGGGACTTTTCTGTTTGGAAAAGAGGAGACTAAGGGGGAATATGATAGAGGTATATTAAAATCATGAGTGGTGTGGAGAGGGTGAATAAAGAAAAGTTATTCATTAGTTCCCATAATAGAAGAACTAGAGGACACCAAATGAAATTAATGGGTAGCAGGTTTAAAACTAATAAGCGAACGTTCTTCACACAGCGCATAGTCAACCTGTGGAACTCCTTGCCAGAGGAGGCTGTGAAGGCTAGGACTATGACAGCGTTTAAAGAGAAGCTAAATAAATTCATGGAGGTTAGGTCCATAAAAGGCTATTGCCAGAGGGTTGTAATGGTGTCCCTGGCCTCTGTTTGTCAGAGGCTAGAGATGGATGGCACTAGACAAATCACCTGATCATTGTCTTCAGTCCACCCCCTCCAGAGCATCTGGCGCTGGCCAATGTCGGCAGACAAGCAACTGGGCTAGATGGACCTTTGGTCTGACCCAGTAAGGCCAATCTTATGTTCTTACGTTATGTTCTAAAAGCTAGGAGGAAGCAGATGGCCACTTGCCCTGGACTTTTTGAAGGGCTTCTGGAAGCTTGGAATAGCTGTTCTGCATATACCAGTTAAAATGTTCTCTTGTCACCTACCATTTAAGTACTTTAAAAAGTCTGACAGTTGATTAGTGATGGGCCATGATACTGCTGGTGAAAAGTGAGCATAGACTCTATTGCCAATCAGTGTATAGAGAAATATCGTTTTCTTGTTTCTAGTGCGTAAATTCTTGGCTTAGGTCACTGACTTCAACAGGTGGTTAAGCTAGATTTTGTTACCCACACAATCTAGGGCATGCAGTCAACGCTCGTTTAGTATGGGGAGGTGAGCTAGCAATTCTTTTTCAGAGACGAGGGGGGAAGAGAGATCAGCCACTGCATGTACCTGGAATTGGGTGATGGAGTTTTTTAAACCAAAAAATTATTCAGAAAAAAAGTGGTTTGGGTCAGCTTCCCTAAAAAAACTCTAATTATTTTGGAATTTAAGGCTTTGTTACAGCTTCGAAATAAAATGTTTTGATTTTTGTAGAAAATAACTTTGTGATTAAAACAAAATTAAGGAAATTAAGTTTCTTAATGGTCCGGCCAACATTTCAGAAAACTTAAAGGGGAGGGGGCTGGTTCGACCAGAAATGTATTTTTTCAGACTCGCCACAAACAAACAAACAAACAAACAGAAAATCCATTAGCCCAGCTCTCCTTGCATCTTCATTTTGCCCTCAAGATGAGAAACATGTCGGTATGCAGATCGGCTTCTCTCGTAAGCACTGAGCGACCCGCTGCCGGATGCCGAGAAGGTGTTAGCCGAGATTGCAGTGCCATTAACGTCTATCATCCTAATGTGTGAATTAAAAGGGTGAGATGCTACTTGAAAGGATTTGACAGGAGCATGAAAACCAGAAGGAGCTGTTAGATGCTCCCTGATGGTTCTTGGCTTGCATCCAGCATTAGCAGGGCCTGGTACATCATCTCGTGCTCACTCGGTAAATACTGCTAGGATTTTCTGTATCTGATTCCAAACCCTCTGAACTAACAGATGATGTCATCAAAAGTAACCATGGCAATGTACCACGGCAGCTTGGTGGCATGTTGCCTTTCACTTGGGGAGAGGTGGCTTGTAGAGGAGCCATTTAACTGAACCTACTAGTGGAAGTGCTGCAGTATGTATAGATGGGGATGTCATCTCTCATCCCCCCACAGTGTGCTGGTTACTGGTTTGCAGCTTTGGGGTGGCATTTGCAACTTTGGGGAGCTCAGTGCCTCACAGGAGCTGTCTCTTAGCAGGCCAGATTTTCAAAGGCATTTCACCACCTAAACAAGCAGACAGGCACCAATATTCAATCCATCTGCCTCTCGAGGTGCTGGAACACTTTTAGAGAAGCTAGTCCTGCAGCTGTTTGGCCAGAGGCATTGGGGTTATTCCTGCCTGACCAAACGGAGATGTGTGGCAGAGGAAAGAATTCTCCAGGACATGGGAAGAGGGGGCTTTGCGAGTCTTTTATTAGCAGTATCTGAGTGTTGTTTTCAGCCAATAACATTATACATTCTCCAACTCCTGAGAGACAATAGAGACCACTCTATCACTGGGATGGGTTCCCTAGGGAGGTGGTGGAATCTCCATCCCTGGAGGTTTTTAAGTCCCAGCTTGACAAAGCCCTGGCTGGGATGATTAAGTTGGGGTCTGTCCTGCTTTGAGCACAGGGTAGGACTCGATGACTCCTGAGGTCTCTTCAACCCTAGGATGCTAACAGCAGCAGGACTTTTCACATTGAAAATTCTTTGTTGCAGATCAACTCAGGATGAATTCTGCAAATAGTGAGCTCTAACTGGAGCGCATCAGAGAATCATTTGCAAACACTTTTTGGATCAGCCAGACCAATCACCGCGTAAGCCGAAGTCCATGCACGATGAATAACCTGCTCACCCACTCAGCTTTCTGGCTGATCAGTGCTGCTCTCTGAACAAGGCATTTCAGGTAAGACCCATTTTGCTAATACACCATCAACAGGATACAGACCACGGTCTTGTGTAGACAACAGCATTCAAATTATTACTAAGACGAAATCAACCAAATGGAACCCCAGCGCCTTAGAATGAGAGTATGAAAATGCTCGTTCCGTTCACTGCTTTTGGAGGTGGAGATTCACCATTACAGATCATGCAAGCCCAGTGTTTGTAGCGGGAAGGCAGAGTTAATGGGCAAACTGGATTAAACAAGATTTTACTCACAATTACCTCTGCCAATTGGGTGGCAGGGAGGCAGACATGGCAAAAGGTTCTTAGCAGCGGTTTCTAATACTGGAAAGAGACATTCATGTATCGCTGGGAAGGAGCAAAACAAAACTCAATTGTTTTCCACACGCCTCCATCACTACCCTGATAATCCATTGGGCCACGAGTGTGGGTAGCAGCCGGCAGCGGCTCAGTTTGTATCCACAGCGTTGCACGCAAGCAGCCTCTTTGGGTCAAAAGAACCTGCACTTATAGAATCAAATACTGCAAATCCCATGCATCCAAACCAAAGTGGAACTGTAGCTAAGCTGATGTGTTTCACTGGCTTCCCACCTGGGGCAAGGTTGCTTGAAGCAGGACTGAGTTTGCGGCTAAAAACAAACCCCGGTGCTTTCTTGCAAGACAGCAGCAGTGAGTCCAAGAAAACCCTGCTTATTTCACCCTTATCCTAGGAAATTCCAAGAGGGTCATTCCATGCTTAAAAGCTTCGGGTCTTTTAAAACTCGCCTGTTTATGAGGTACGAAGCTGGGTCATCTCACGTCCCAGACTCCAGTCCATGCAGATGGAAAAGAACGGGACAAATGAGGGAAACGACACGCAGGGCAACAAGAAGTTGGGAGAACTAGGAGCCATAATGCTGGGCAAGTCTGATCCAAGTTTAATAAGGAATGAGGGGATGGAGCAGGCGGGGATTCTGTAGCGAGCACGTGAGGGAAGAGCTGTCACAAGCACAATGGAAGGGCATGAGGAGGACAGCTGAGAGGCAGGGAAGAGCTGGGAGGACAGAGCGACCCGAGTCTCTAGCACTAAGGGTAGGTCAACACTGCGGTTAAAAAACAGCGCTTGGCCACTCAGCGCAGGTAAAAAACTGTTTAACTGCAGTGTGGACCCTGGGGCTCAAGCTGCAGCTGTTTAACTGCAGTGTGGACCCTGGGGCTCAAACTGTGGACCCATCTCCTCACAGGGCACTAGAGCTGGACTCCAGGCCAGACCCAAATGGCTACAGTAGAATTAAATAGCCCCCTAGTCCAAGCCTGTGTCACGTCCTCCCCCCCGTCCGAACCAGTTTTTCCACTTGCTGTAGCTCATAATAAAACTGCCTCTGGCTACTTGTTGCTAACAAACGCAGAGTGAGGACAATGTTTTCTTCCACAGATCCACCCACAGTGTAGACGGCAGGGGTGTGAATTGCAGCACACCCCATTTTGTGCTGTAACGGCCCCATGTTGACTCTGCTGGCACAAACTAGTTCATATGAACGTGGTGCAGAAATGGCCCTGTGCTCACACAAACTGGGTCTCTCTCAGCATGAGCTTCAGCGCAAAAATGAATGTACAATTACAGCACAAAAACTTCAGTGTCTGCTACAACGTGGACAAGCACTAAAAGCAGAAGCAGAGGAAGAAAATTTATTCTCGCCAGCAGCTTTACGCAAACTTATCTCCCAAGCCTATATAAAATAGAGTAGTTCCAGGTAACCATCACACGCATGTTTGTATTTACTGGATATATTACTGATTTCTTTTAATATGCAAAACTTTGTTGCTATTGTTCTATTAATCTGGTCTAACATTACTTCTGTATAATGTTACGTAGTGATAAAATAAGAATCCAAAATGTGTTTCTTTGAATGAAATACTTTATTCGAATACGGTGACTCCTTCCACCTTACACAGGTAGAACCAAGACGTGCTAGGATCAGCCATTAACAAACCTCTGCTTCAAGAGTTACCTTGTAAAGAAGCACACAAGTCTATGTAACTCAGTTAAGGTCACAGCTTAGCTCATGATTCAGCATTTGAGATTTGCAATAAGTGGATACTGACTTCAGTGGAGGTGTCCAGTTATTGACCTGAAAGCTAAAAAACTAGCCAAGATGCAGTAGAAGTCAACATGGAAGTGACTGTACGTCTCAGACAACTAACATCAGTACCTGTCAATCATCTACAGCGTCACCATTCTGGCTATAGAACGGTCAACCGTAACAGCTTGCTACTGACGTAACATTCTAAATTAGAACTTAAATTAATTAGACAGTCCAGTCGGGACGTGGAAAGTTGGATACAAAATCTTAGGGGAAAGGTCCAGTGAAAACCTACCAATAGGACTGCAGTAGCATTTGCAATGTAGAGCAGTTTTGTGCCTCCGACCTGGCATATGCTGTACATGGACGTAAGCCAAGATGCTTGCTGCACACCGGGCAAGAGACTCAACACTGAACAAAATTAATTAGACAGTCCAGTCGGGACGTGGAAAGTTGGATACAAAATCTTAGGGGAAAGGTCCAGTGAAAACCTACCAATAGGACTGCAGTAGCATTTGCAATGTAGAGCAGTTTTGTGCCTCCGACCTGGCATATGCTGTACATGGACGTAAGCCAAGATGCTTGCTGCACACCGGGCAAGAGACTCAACACTGAACAGG